CAAAGCTGGAGGTATCACCATTCCAGATTTCAAGTTACACTACAAAGCTGTAGTAATAAAAACTTTACGGTACTGGGACAAAAGTAGACACAGATCAATGGGAGAGAGCAGAGAACTAAGCAATAAACCCAGGATTTTATGGCTAATTAATTTTTTTACAAAGAGGCAAGATCATGCAATGGCAAATAGAAGGCCTCTTTAAAATGTGGTGTTGGCTCATATTTGGATCTGGAGAAACTAAACAGAAGACCATGGGGGAGGGGAAGGGGAAAAAAAAGTTACAGAGAGAGAGGAGACTCTTAAGACTGGGTCTCTTATGAGACCGAGAACAAACTAAGGGTAGATGCGTGGGGGGGGGGGGGGGGGGGGGAGAGGGGAAAGTGGGTGATGGGCAGGGAGGAGGGCACTGATTGGGATGAGCAGTGTGTGTTGTATGCAAACCAATTTGACAATAAATTATATTAAAAAAATAAAATGCGGCGTTGGCGAAAGTGGACAGCAACGTGCAAAAGAAAGAAACTGGACCACTTTGTTACACTATATGCCATAATAGACTCAATGTGGATTCAGGATCAAAACATGCGGGGCACCTGGGTGGCTCAGTTGATTAAGCTTCCTACTTCGGCTCAGGTCATGATCTCACGGTCTGTGAGTTTGAGCCCCACGTTGGGCTCTGTGCTGCCAGCTCAGAGCCTGGAACCTGCTTTGGATTCTGTGTCTCCCTCTCTTTCTCACCCTCCTCTGCTTGTGCTCTGTCTCTCTCTCTCAGAAATGAATAAGTGTTAAAAAAAAAAAAACCACAATGTGGAACCTGATATCATAAGCATGCCAGAAGAGAGCACAGGCAGGTCTGTCTCTCCATCAGCTGCAGCAATACTTTTCTAGAAATGGCTCCTGAGACAAGGGAAACAAAGCAAAGATAAATTATTGGGACTACAGGGAAATATAAAGCTTCTGCACAGCAAAGGAAACAATCAACAAAATTCAAAGGCAATATACAGAATGTGAACAGATATTTGCTAATGACATATCCAATAAAGGGTTAGCACCCAAACTACAAGGAACTTGTACAACTCAACACCAATAAAACCAATAATCCAGTTAAAAACGGGGCAGAAGACATGAATAGACATTTCTCCAGAGAAGACATCCAGATGGCCAAACAAACACATGAAAAGATGCTCAGCATCACTCTTCATCAGGGAAATGAAAATCAAAACCACAATGAGATGCCACCTCACTCCTGTCAGTTCGGTTAAATTCAGACACACAGGAAACAAGCGTTGGGGAAGATGTGGAGAAGGACCCTTGTACCCTGTTGGTAGGAATGCAAACTGGTGCAGCCCCTGTGGATATGCAGTTTCCTCAACAGTTAAAAACAGATTTCCCACGTGATCCTGTAACTCCTCTACTGTATATTTACTCAAGTAATATGAAAATGGCAATTTGAAAAGATACACGCACTCCTATGTTTACTGCGGCATTATTTACGGTAGCCAAATTATGGAAGCCACCCAGTGTCCACGGATGATGGATGAAGAAGGACAAAGTGTGGTATGTACGTATAAGGGGATGTTACTCAGTCAAGTAAAGGACTGAAATATTGCCATATGCAATGACCTAGATGGACCTGGAGAGTTTTAAGCTACGTGAAATAAGTAAGTCTTCCAGAGAAAGACAAACACCTATTGTCTCACTCACGTGTGGAACTTAAGAAACAAAACAAATGAAAAAGACAAAAGAGAGATAAAGGAAAAAACTGAATGGGAACAATAGAGAACACACTGCTGGTCACCCGAGGGGAGGCAGGTGAGGAATCAGAGAAGATGGTGAAGGGAATAGTTTTATACTTACATTGATGAACGCTGAGTAATGCATAGCGTTAACTCGAATTAAAAAAAAAACACAAAAGGAAGAAAAAGTAACTCAGCACACCAGAATATATAATTCTTGGTGTATGTGTTATTTCCTCCCAAAGAGACTAAAAGCTCCTTGAATAAAGTGATTGCATTGTGAACACTATTTTCGTGCATGTAGCAAGGTGCTTGGACCAGGCTGGTGTTAAGTGGTGAGTGAATATACATTAGTGCAAGTACGACTGAGTGGGTATTCTTCAGATGTTTCAATGTCCTGTGGTCTCTCTGATTACAACTGATCCTCCCCTAAAATAATGGTGAATTGGTGGTTGTTGATACTGTTACCCAGGCAATCATGGGGAAATTGGGAAAAGCAAATAGAATGTGTTAAAAGAAACCCATGGACTCAAAATGGTGTCTCAGGCCAGGCCAAGTCCCCAAACCTTGTTTGATGCCTAAGCTAACGGCTGTTCCAACCTCCCCCAGAAATGTAAGTCTTCCCCTGTCAGCGAGGAATTCTCTGTTCATCACAGTGGGGTCTGTTGTCACGTGAGTCCTCTCCATCCCCCAGTGAGGGGAGGTCATCTGTATGGCTAGACCCCTGCGCTCCCAATTAAGGGAAAGTGAGCTTCCCTGAAACATTTGTTTCTTGTATTTGTGCAACTTCCTTCCTATAAAAAACCTCTTATTTGTACGCTTCCTTGGGGCTCCTCTTTCCCATGCCAAATTGTATGCTCCCTCAAACTTGTATCCCTTAATGCAATCGATTAGATCTTCGAATTGACCTGGTTGATTGTTTTTAAACACAAGCAGTAACACATCAGAGATGTGGATGGGCTGGGGTGGGGGTGAGACAGGGAAGGGAGTCCATGGGGAGTGTTCCAAGGGCAGGAGGGACAGGGTGACAGCAGGCTCCAGGGCTGCATGCTGGGGAGCCGTGTTTTCATGGGTTACTGCCTTGATGAGGAGAAAAAGCACGAGAGGTTGGGTCCCTTTTCCATGCCACCCAAGACTTGGTCCCCAGCACCTGAGTTAGGACCTCGGGAAACAGAATGGAGGCTGGTGACAGGGAGAAGCTGGAAGCGGGAGAGGAGGGTCAGACCCAGAGGGGAAGTGAGAATCTGAGTAGGTGTCCAGGGTTGAGGGCGGAGCCCATCTGCATTGTCGGGGAGACTCAGGGCAGGCGTGTGTGTTGAGAAGGAAGTCAGAAGAGAGGGGCTGCGTGTGGGGAGGTTTGTGAGAACAGACGCCAAAGACCCACTTTCCGAGAGAAAGAAAGAACATCTGCACATAAGATGCTGTTGTTGCAACTGGTGTTGCTCACGGTTCTTGTCCCAGGTGGTGACAGCGACGATGGTGAGGACGGTGGCCCTGCTCAGAGAGTGTATATGTGTGTGATGTGTGTACATGCGTGCATGCAAATGCATACATGTGCATGCACACGTGTATCATGTGTGCTCATGTGTCATGTGTGCATGTTTGTGCCTACACGCGTGTGATGTGCATATGTTTGTGTGGCAGTGTGTGTGAACATGTGTGTCATATGTGTGCTTCTGTGCCTGCATGTATGTGTTATAAATGTGTGCTTTTAGAGGACAATGTGTGCATCTCTGTGTCTGCATGTGTGCACGTGTGCATCATTTACGTCCATGTGCTTGTGTGCCTACACGTGTGCAAGTATGTATGAGTGTGTGTGCATAGGTGCCTGTGTTTGTTTCTCTGCGTGTATCTGCATGTGTGTCTGTATGTGTGCAAGTCTGTGTGTGACACGTGTGCACAACTGCTTGTGTGTCTGTATGTTTGTGTTTTAATAGGTGTATGTGTGTATTTGTATGTGAAGGTGTACATGTGTATCTGTGTATGTCAGTTTGTGCAAGAGTGTGTAATGTAAGTTTGCATGGGTGTGTCACTGTTTGTGCACACTCGCCTGTGTGTGCACTCATGGTGTGGGTTCTCCAGCACATATCTGGGGAATGAGAATGTCCACCCAGTTCCTTTCTACACATCCCTGACCCCAGGGCCCTGTTCTCTGCTGAACGATGGTTTCAGAATGATGGGCTCAGAGCTTTGGGCAACACGTGTTTCCTCAGAGAACTATGACTCCATGTCCTCCAGATTTCAGTGCCCCTCGCTGGCACCTTTTTCTGATTCTCTCTTCTTTGCAATGCCTCCCTCACTCTATCTGTTCTGACACAGACTTCCAGGGGCCGAACTCCTTCCGAATCATCCTGACAACATCTTTTTACAACCGTTCCTGGACACAAAACCTTGGCTCAGCTTGGCTGGATGAGCTTCAGACTCATGGCTGGGACAGCAAGACCGGTATTCTCATACACCTGCGACCTTGGTCCAAGGGCAACTTCAGCAACAGGGAGCTGATGGAACAGGAAAGGTCATTACATGCAGCATCCATTGCATTTCCTCTGATATTTCAGAACCACGTCAGTCAATGGCAGCTTGAATGTGAGCTCGGGTCCCTCAGGGCAGGTGGGATTGAGGTGACCGGTGTGTGTCACCTTGAGTTCCTTCTTCCTCCAGGAAAGAGCCTCCCCTGGCTGCTGAACCTTTTGACTCCCCTTCATAAAACGGAATCATACCCGTGTGTTCAGGAGGCAGAAGCCAGACCCCGAACTTGAAAAGCTTCACGCCTTCTGCTATTTCCCCTCCGCTCCTTGACCTCAGGCTGTGTTCTCCTGTCTCTCACCAGAGTCTCCCATGACCACCCCATTCCCTGGCCTCCAGCCAGAGACTCTCCTCTCCTTCACTCTGTGACTGATCCTCGAATTGTGCTTTACTCCTCATTGAGTCCTCTCATCAACATCTGTCCATGTGTTCCCTGTACCCACTACCCCCCCTCACCCTGGATGGTTTTATCACAGCTCTCCTGCTGAGCCCTCTCCTGTTCTCTGCCCACAGCCTTCCAGTCTCTCCTCCAACAGTTGTTCCTTCCTCAGTCATTCACCTCTTCCTCTGCTGCAGTGACCACCACTTCCCCTCTGTGTGAGCCTCCACTTAAACCAAACTTTGCTCCATTCCTTCCAATACCCTCAACTTCTCCCTCTGCTTCCTCTGTTATTGGCTTCTACATACCTCATTTCATCTCTTCCCTCCCCATTTCCTGTAACTTACAGTCTCTTTTGCCAGATCCTTTTCAGGTACAGCTGGTCAAAAGCTGTGTGCTGCCCTTTGGAGAGGCACCAGGAGGATTTTTGTGGATTGCATATCAAGGATCAGATCTTGTGAGCTTCCAGAACACGTCATGGTGGCCATCTCCAAAGGGAGGAAGGAGGGCTCAGCAGGTCTCCAAACTATTCAATCAGTACCATGTGGTCAACTTACGATTACAAGCACATGTTAATGACATCTGCCCCCGTTTCCTCTTGGGTCTACTTGATGCAGGGAAGGCAGATCTTCAGCGGCAAGGTCAGTCCTGCTCCCTCCCTCCAAGCTTTCTTTCTACACTCAGAAACTTGCAACATTTCCTCAAACTCAGGGATAAAAGGGGCCAAGAGGGAGAGGGCTGATGGTGGTGGGTTTCTAGAGGTGGAAAGATGTGTGTATCTAAAGCGATGTGAGGATCTTCCCTCTCAGTCTGAGAATTCCTGTCCTGTCTCTGCAGTGAGGCCAGAAGCCTGGCTGTCCACTGGCCCCAGTCAGGGGCCTGGCCATCTGCTCCTTGTGTGCCATGTCTCTGGCTTCTACCCAAAGCCAGTGTGGGTGACGTGGATGCGGGGTGACCAGGAGCAACAGGGCACCCGGCGAGGCGACGTCTTGCCCCATGCTGACGGGACATGGTATCTTCAGACGTCCTTGGATGTGGAAGCCAGGGAGGCAGCCGGCCTGTCTTGCCGAGTGAGACACAGCAGTCTAGAAGGCCAGGATATTGTCCTCTACTGGGGTGAGAAAGGGCTGGTGCCAGGCAGGGAAAGGGTGGTCCTCCAGCAGTGCAGGAG